TCACTTTGTTTGGAAGTCTGTTATAATATGGCAGGGAGTAAACATTAACATCTTTTTACTATCATCTTGTTTTACTAGTCTCTGATTTTTTAACTGTCTTCATTTATGGCAGTATTAAGTCTTGCAGTTAAGGGCTATTTTTATGGATAGGAAATTACTCATTTTGCCTGTATCACAGTTGTGTGTTTTTTGCAATGTTAGGGATCCAACCAGGAGTCTCCCAGGTATTCTACCACCCCTAATCAAAGCCTCTTTCAGCCTTCTGGAGTAGCAGCTGGGACTACAGGCATGTGCCACTTTAACTGGCTCTCTCATTTGATTCTTAATTCAGTACACTTTTAACTCAGAAAATGGCTTACTGGAAGTTTCTCATAACTAAAATAGAGACCAAATGTCAGCAGTTTAAAGGGGTGCAGGGATGACATCCATGGTAGACACCCTGCTAGAGCCTTCAGCAATAGTGTATGTGGAACCCTAGCATTTGAACCTACCCCAATAAAGGCCAGCTGTCAGGACCAGGGAGGTTCTGGTTGACATTAGAGAAGAAAAAAAAATGTGCCTGGGTCCTTGGGGCTTCTTCGTTTGCAACCTCAGCTGTTAGGAAATGGAAACCAGGCAGAATTAAACATAATCCACCAGCCTGCCACCACCCCTATAATAATCATCTTTTTATTACTAGTTATTGTTGCCATCAACATAGCCAGAGCACACTGCCCCTTGGAACAACTCCCTACTAAGAGGCACAACTTTATAGACACAAGGTATAGTTTTTTCCTTTGGTGTTAAGGATTGAATTAGGGCTTCAAGCACATGAAGCACACCTTTATGCCTCAGCTATACCCCAAGATACAAGGTATGGTTTTGAGGTAACATCTATGATCACTGTATTTTGTACTAAAGAGAAACAATTTTAATCCAAAGTTATTATTCTATCAATGTAAAGAAGTTATACATAGCAGGACATATAAGTTTTCATATCTGCCTTACCAAAATTGATGTGTATCAATAATTGAAGATAAACACATAGAAATAAGTCATTTTTCAAAGATAATCAAATCTACTTATTCAAAGTTCAGTACTTCACTTAAATTTGTAAATCTTTTTATTGTCAAAACATTAAGTAATACTTTTCACTAATATAAGTGTTCTATTTTAGAGACCATGAGAGAATATTCTGGAGAAATAAGACAAAGGCCCCCAGAAAGACAATGTCATGTACATCTCAGTTTCCTCTGTACTGTTACATGTAGTAAAGCCATTTAAGGATGAAGCGGACACAGTTCTGCTTAGACACTACTACTGATAGGGATAGTATATGTGAAAAGTATACATATAAAGTTCAAAGACCTAGGTCTATACTTTGTTTCAAATGTCATGCCTAACTTTGGGAAGTAAAAGTAACCTTAACCTCGTTACATCTGACTACCAATTGCTACTATAACTTTATTTCTAGTACTTATTCATTGGAAAACTGGCAAGACAAAAAAGTTTTAAATGTTATCAACTGCTAAAAACAACAAGGAAGACTTTAAAGAAAGAATATATTTGAACCACATAAACAAAAAGATAATACATAAGAAAAAATAATGTAACAATTTATGTAAGTACCTAACATGAGTACGCTCTTACATCTAAAACAAAAAAATAGTAACATTGGTACTATATATATATGACAAGTGTGCATTAAAGAAATCTCTAATATAAAACATTTAAAATGTGGAAAATATTTTTCAAGATACAAGAAATAACTGTTAAGGTAGGCACATCCACAATTCTTATAAAAACATGCAAAGATAAAAATTCATCTGACTACGCATTTCTCAGATGTACAAAAGCTATGAAATTGTTAATCACTGGATACTGCCTTTTGTTTTTGCACTGTTTTGAGTTTCAACACTGATCGGTATGAATTCTGGCTTATATAATTACTGCTATTTTTCAGTCTGTTATGCTCCAAGAGCATATTTAATATTAATATTTCATATTTAATATGAATACTTAGAAGAGGAACATTATTTGTATCACAGTCACTTTCTTACTGTTTTTTTTTTTTAAGGCAGTATGTTTAGAAAATAGTTATTACAAAATAGTGCTTTGGAAGATCTGAAATTTCAAATCAATGTGCTCCATTAATCATAACTAGATCTAAGAAGCCTTAAATAGAAAGAACACAAATGTAAAAAGCTGATGAATTTAAAGATTATAAAATTG